ATTTTCTTCTTTTTTAAGGTTGAATAATATTGAGTTATAAATGTATTTATTGCATAATACTATACTACATATATAGGGCACAAATTTTGAGCTAGGCAGAATGAATAAATTCTGGTAATCTAAGGTACAGCATGAGACTATAATTAATGATTCATATTAGGTATATAGATACATATATATTATTCAACACTGGATATGTATTGTCTTTACCCATTTATCTTTGATGGACTTTTTTTCATATCTTGGCTACTATGAATAATGCTAACCTAGATACAGAAGTGCAGGCATCCTTCAAGATATTAATTTCATTTCCTTTACACATATCACAAGAAGTCACATTGCTAGATTATATTTTTAATTATAATTTTTTGAGGAACCTCCATAGAGTTTCATATAATGGCCATAGCAATTTACATTTCCAGCAATAGTGCACAAGGGTTATTTTCTATACTGAAACATAAATGCAACATGATCTCACTTATGTTTACAATCTAAGAAATGTCAAACTCATAAAAGCCAGAGACTAGAATGGTGGTTGCCAGGGACTGGGGCTGAAGAAAATGAGATGTTGGTAAAAGGATCAAAGCTCTGTTATGCACTATGAATAACTTCTGAAAAGCTCAGGTACAGCATGTTGATCATAATTAGTAATACATATTGGATACATGAAATTTGCTAAGAGAATATACCTTAAGTGTTCTTACCACAAATGAAGGTAACTATGTGAGATAATGGATACATTAACTAGCTTCATAGTGGTAATCACTTCACAATGTATACATTTATCAAATATCATATTATATACTTTAAGCACATAAAATATTTGTGAAATATACCTCAATAACATTAGAAACAACAAGAACAAACTACGTTTGAAAGACAACAACAAAAGATGTTACCAATCTTCTTGGTATGGCAAAAGCAGGTGAAACTGGACAAATGCTGCACAGTACTCTCCCTGGAAGGTGGTACTGAAGCACTGAAGTGAAGCAAAGCATCCCAGTGAGCGGTATTTTGAGAATTGCATTTGGTTTTCTATTTCATATGGAAAGAGAAATAGCCTGAGTTCTGGGTCAACAAAGATTCGGTAACATGGCTAAAAGATTTGATAAGATGTTGAGGAATTTTGAAATTTAACAATGGAAAAATGATTACAAAGCAGTTGGAGTGGTATGAATATCCCAGAATGGGCACCAAATGCAACAGTTGGTTTCCCACATAAATGCCTATCAAAGCAAATCTACTGCAGAGGAGGCCTACAGAAATCGGGTCAGCAACATGAACTATAATTGGATATCAGTCAGACTTTTTTTTTAAATCATCTTTGTAGTCACTGTGACAGAGATGAATACTTGACAAAGGCTCAGAGAAGAACATCATCCACCTTTAACCATGGCTGCTCTGGCTACTGTCAGTGCCCAAGATCCAAAATGTCATCAGCAATGTTCATCATTGACTCCCTAACATGACACAAATAGCTAGCAAAACCACCAACAACCTGTGGCAGCTTACTTCATTGTAAATCTCAGTCTAATAGACACAGTATTCTGTCATCATATTATGTATTCTGGTTATATGATTGTTCCAGCACTTTAGTCTTATTTATTATTCATGGGGAATAATCCATTATCCATTGCCATGGTATCATGATCATTGCCATTTATAACCAGGGAATACCTTTTCTAGTAAATAAAGCAAATTACTCACCACCATAGAATTCACCGCTATGATCACACTTCCCATCGCCTAGAAGCTATTGTCTAGGTAGAACATTGGAATGGCCTCCTAAATGGTGAGTCATGGTGCCAGCCTGAAAGATACCACCCTACAAACCTGAAATGCTTTCTTCTATATGTTTGACACACAGTATACACTCAATAATTTTAGTCAACATAAACCTTGTGCCACATAAATTTATGGTAGATTATCTTCACACTGATACACATTCCCCACGCAGCCTAATAAATGCCCTTCTCCATTTCAATATCCACAAGATCCAATTCCACACGCTACTATAAATAAATAACTCATAAATATATCTAGAATATTCTTCAAATATTGAAAATCATGCCAATAAATATTTAGTGAACCTATGAATCAAAGAAAAAGTTATAATGGAAATAAGCAAATATTTAGAACGAAGCAATAAAAAAATTAAAATGTTGAGGGGTCATCAAAACAGTGCTTAAAGAAAAGCGTATAGCCAAAAATGCTCACATTTAAAAAAAATGTTTAAAAGCCGCCATCTAAGCCTTCATGTTAAGAAGCTAGAACAAGAAGAGTAAATAAAAATCAAGGTAAGTATATGAAAAGATGTAAATATAAGATCAAAAACCAATAAAATGAAAAACATAGAGAAAAAAATAGCCAAAATCTGGTACCTTTATGATGAAATTGATAAACTGCTACAAGAGTGATCAAGAGAAAAGAAAAAGAAATTCAAATTACTAATACCAGAAATAATAAAACAAATGATCATCCCACAGATCCTTTAAACTTTAAAAGGTTAGAAAAGGATTGTTATGAAACACATTGTTTCCTTTAAACTTTAAAAGGTTAGAAAATGATTGTTATGAAACACATTGTTTCCTTTAAACTTTAAAAGGTTAGAAAAGGACTGTTATGAAACACATTGTTTCAATTAATTTGAAAGCTTAGATGACAGGTAAAATGTAGGGAAAGGAGAACCTTCTAAAAATGACACAAAGAGAAACTAAAACACTCCTGCATATTGCCAAGTAATGAGCTATCTTTACTTGTAGATAACATGATAGTATTTCAGACAACCCTAAAGAATCTACAGATATAACTCTGTAGGAATAAGAAGTAAATTTAGCAAATTTATAGAACTCAAGTGTCAAATAAAAAATTAAATTTTCTTTATAATTCCTAGCAACAATGACAATGGGAATTTTTTTAATTAAAACCTGTGATGAAATCTAAAAATATAAATACTTAGTAATAAATAAGAAAGATCCCTAGACTAACAACAACTAAAAAAAAAAATACTCTTCAAAAATAAACATTTATACTACCTAACAGATATACTGTAATCAGGAATTTAAAAACATAGTATTGTTAAGATATTATTAGTACATTATTTACAGATGCAACGTAAAGTGAATAAAACTCCAATATGCTCTTTTTGAGATGTGGACAATTGTTCTGCATGTCGCTCTGCATAGTGACTTTGCAACTTCTCCAGCAAGAGTTATCTTCTATTTCTGTAACCTCAAATCTGGGGTGGTCCTGTGACCACTCCGACAAATAGAACATGATGCAAGTCACATTGTGCCAGTTCTGAACATAGCTGTTAACTAGCCGGACCCATCTACTTTCTACTACTGGGATCACTGAGCACGATGTAAAAAGCCTGACTATTCTCTGGAGTGATCTTGTGATCCATCATTTAAAGGGATAGGAAGAGGGACCCAGTGCATCTCTTACTGTCATCCCTTCTAGTACGCTATAGATATGAATTAAGTTATCCTGCATCTTACATAATACTCAGTTATCAGGTGAATAAGAGAGTGGCTTCAGTTTTTGCCACACAAAACAGAAGAAATGCCAGCCAACAACTGACTGAATTCCTGGTTCACAAAATTTTGAGATAAAATAAAATGATGGTTGTTTGAACTCACGAAAACTGTGGAGCCTTGTACCGTACGTGAAGACAGGACCAGGATGAAAATTGACACCTTAAGGCATAGTGTCAGTAACAACAATTTAAAGTCGATAGCATTGGTTTTAGTGCCCAAAACAGGGGCCTCCAGGATATTATACGTGAAGGCTGAAAAGACAGACCTAACTGTTCCACAGGCTATGAAAAAAGTGAGTCGCGGCCAGGCGTGGTGGCTCAAGCCTGTAATCCCAGCACTTTGGGAGGCCGAGGCGGGTGGATCACGAGGTCAAGAGATCGAGACCATCCTGGTCAACATGGTGAAACCCCGTCTCCACTAAAAAAAAAAAATACAAAAAATTAGCTGGGCATGGTGGCGCGTGCCTGTAATCCCAGCGACTCAGGAGGCTGGGGCAGGAGAATTGCCTGAACCCGGGAGGCGGAGGTTGCAGTGTGCCGAGATCGCGCCATTGCACTCCAGCCTGGGTAACAAGAGCGAAACTCCGTCTCAAAAAAAAAAAAAAAAAAAAAGTGAGTCGCTGTCCAGTGCTGAAAAAATTTAGTAACTATGTCACCCACAGTAAGGTAGAAAATAAAAAATGTACTTAAGCGAATAGAAGGATTTGGTGAAAATTTACAAGTAGAATATTGAACATTGCAGCTGTTTCTTTTACCAGTGTATCATATAATAAGGCATAGATTTTTTTAATTAATGAAAAGATTAAATGTTACATTTTCAGACAGAATTTACAAGAAGCATAAAAGAACCAGAAACTGCTGGTTTCAAACATAAAGCTGGCTCCCCTTTCCAGTCTCTGCAAAGAGCTAAGTACTCTAAAAGTAAGAAAGGTCATCAAAATAAATTCCATTTCAAACATGTGGATGTAAGACTTGGAAAGACTACAGAAAAATTTAACACTGTGTCTCGTAAGTACCTTAAATTAGACAAACATAACTCTCAGATTCTTAAGAGTTTATCTAACAGCATATCTTTATCTTTCAGTTCAAGTCTGAGAAGGGCTAGTTTTAAAAATATTTGTGAATATGATGCCTGTATATTCTACAAAGTCTTTAAATAAACTACACTAAAGGAAGCACCATAGCATTTCATTTTGAACAGGAGCCTCCATTTTATTACCTATTCCTCCCTTTCCTCATTGTGTGCTGGGCATATGGAAGAAATACCCTATCTCGAAGATCCATAAAAAGGAAAAAACATAATTTAACACACGCACAATAGCAACTGCACCCTTGGAGCCCCATCCATGCTCAGGCTGGATATAGATGTTGAGATCTTGAACTTCAATCAAATGCCATGATGAGATGACTTCTTAATTGAGCCATAAGCCTCTAAATCCTATCTTCTCATTTTGATATCCTTGACTTGCCCTTAGAAATCTGAACACTTCACTGGGAAGACCTTGAATACATGCCTCCTTATCTACATGAGGAGGGACACTCTTATTCTAAATATAGTTAACTTTTTTACACAAGAGTTTTTCTAAAGCATTTCTCATTTCTGAATTTCTCAGTGTGTATATTAAGGGATTCAACATGGGTGTGATAACTGTATAAAACACAGTTATGAATTTATCAATAGGAAAGTTTGAAACAGGTCTAACATATATGAAAATACAGGGAACAAAAAACAGGACAACCACTGTGATGTGGGAGCTGCAGGTAGAGAGGGCTTTACGCCTCCCTTCCTGACTGTAAGTTTTAAGGGAGTTTAGGATGACTCCATAGGAGATTAGTAGAAGGGTGAAGATGACCATACAGATTGCTCCACCATTGAAAACCACAGTGAGGCCTATAAAGTAGGTGTCAGTGCATGCCAGTTCCAATAATGGGTACATGTCACAGACAAAGTGGTCAATAACATTGGGGCCACAGAAAGGGAGACTGTACACAACAACAATTTGAAACACAGAATGAACAAAACCTCCAGTCATGGCCAGCACCAACATAAGGATGCAAACCTGTCGATTCATGATGGTCAAATAGTGCAGGGGCTTACAGATGGCCACATAGCGATCATAGGCCATTCCCACCAGGAGGAATATCTCAGCACCACCAAACAAGTGGTCTATAAATAGCTGGCCTATGCAAGCTCGGAAGGAAATAGTCTTTTTGTCACAGAGTAAGTCCACAGTCAATTTGGGAGAAATGATAGTGGAATATGCAGCATCTATAAATGACAGGCAGGCAAGGAAGAAGTACACTGGGGAACCTAAGGAAGGGCTGGTAATAATAGTCACCACAATGAGCAGGTTCCCCACCATTGTCATGATGTATGTGAGTAAAAACATGACAAATAATGCTTTTTGCACATCAGGATCCTGAGAGAAGCCCAGGAGGACAAATTCTGTAATATTGTTATTCTGTCTCATTTAATCTTATTCAGGCTTGTAACAGAGGCGAGAGCTCAGGAGAATAGGACCTGTAATGAAATAGTGGACAGGAATATGATTACATCCATTGTGTCACAGAAAACATCTTCATTGTTGTATCCTCACTAGTGATTTACACATATAAACATTTAGTAAGTCTCTATTGAGCTCCTCACCCAAAGAGCCCATCTTCCCTTTACAATTCTACTTCTTCTCAAAGATTTTAGTTTCAGTCTTTACGGCTTCTACCTCCAAGTTTTAGTGCAAATTCTAAACAGAAGAAGAATTAAAGTCCCAACAGCTTTCATACATTTTGTAACTTCTTATTTAAAACACTTTTCTTGGCACAGAAGTCAGCTATGACAAATAGGCAATGTGTTCTTGCTCTCAGGAAACTTACTCTCTAGTGGTGGTAATAAACTCTAAATAAATAAATTGACATAGATTTAGTCCTTCATGTTTGTACTTGTGATATCTTTACAATATGATCTGTGTAGCACCAGGAATAACATCTTCTGAAATATCTCTCAATACTCTGACCTTCTACTGTTAGACCTTCAATTCTTCATGCCTCAAAGGATGTTCAGTCTTCATTAGTCTCTCATTAAATGTCAAAAGACAGGACTCTGAACTGTATAAATAGATATGATATTATTTATCACATTGTTCCGTGTAGCAATTACTTGGTCTGACTCTTTACAAGAGCTGTGATTCCCTCCATTTTATCCTTCCCTATACCCCAATTCTGACAACACTTAAATACAATATCTTAATTTTCAGCAATTAATTTTGAACTCAAATGAACTAACTCATGACTATCACCGACTAACAAATATGTCATGAGTATTTTTTTTCCTGAATTCTTGATATGAGCTAGGGAGTGAGAGAGGAGAAAACAGACACTGTAGAAAGAGATACACAACAGTGGGACATGGTTTTATTTATAACACTATTTAGATACCAAGAGTACTCAAAAATAGAATCTTAGTTACCAGATTCCAGAAAGAATCATACTCTAAGAGAAATTCCAAGTTCAGTATAAGAAGGCATGGATTTGAGTCATTTTCTGAATGCATTTACAAATCTGTCTCAGTTTGCTCATTTGAAAACAATGGGATTAAATTTGAGAAATTCAGAATCCTTTCTAGGCAACTATCTACAAAACTATTAGTGCACCTCTCCTTTATGGTATTCTGCTTTTTTTTCTTTTTTCATAAATTTATTATTAAATAAAAATTTCCAAGCTCATGACTCTTACATGAAACATGGTCGTCCATGGGACAATGAGTTTTATGATTACAGTGAGTAAATAGTGACTATAAGTTTCTGACTATGTGCCTATTTAAAATCCAAGATGTCCATGGAGAGAAAGCGTAGCATGTGGCAAATAATGTGGACCTTTCAGCCACACTGTTTCAGCTACAGCCTCAGGTTCACCAGTTTTTATGAGACTTTGGTCCATTTACTAAAGTGCTCTGATCCTTACTTTCATCATTTTTAGAATGGGGATCTCAATAGTGCTTACCTCTTAATTGCTTAATTTTCAGCAATTAATTTTTAACTCAAGTGAACTAACTGTTGTTTTATTAAAACAAAGTAAAGTGTCTAGAACACTGGATGCCACCTGGTAAGGACTCAAATAAATTATAGTTATTATCAGTGTTCTTGTATGCTTCACTTTAAAGATAGAACAAATCCTGTGAATCTTTGTCAACTTGAAAAGATTCATAGACATAGTCTAGGATAAAAAAGAATAAAACACTTACAATTCAGGAAAACCTCTTGGGGCACACAATAAAATTGTATGTGTTAGGAAGTATGTATTTAATTAGATATGAGTAGTAATTTTGCCTGTGATGAAATGTACCTTGATGAGAAGCAAACTTCTAGTAAAAAAAAAAATTTGAACTGATCAACAGAGGGAGAGCTAAATAGTAGAACATAAAAGAAAAAGGGTCAAATCAGAAAAAAAAAGAGAAATTATAGTAAATACATTAAGATTCACAGGCAATAGGAAGATTAATGCTATAATTAAGTAAGGCAAAGTATCTGGGCATGGTGGTACACACCTGTAATCTCAACAATTCGAGAGTCTGAGGCATGAGAATCACTTGAACCCAGGAGACAGAGGTGGCAGTAAGCCAGGATCATGCTGCTGTGCTTCAGCTTAGGTGACCAAGTGAGATTCTGTCTCAAAAAAATAATAATAATAAAGTAAGACTACTTTTCTGCTAGAGAAAAAAAAAAAAAAAAAACTTCTTCAGAAAGACTATTTTAGTGAAGAAATACTGGAAGCACAATTTCCTGTGGGTCCCTGGGGTGACTCAGGAGGATTTGGGAATAGCCATAACAAACAGACACAGATCAGATCCTAGTAAGAAAAGAAAATTTAAAAAGAAAATAAGTAAACTAATAGATTTATAATCTAGTATGTAGAATATTTTATTATATGATATATTAATATAGGTATAGAATTATTTTTAGATATAGTTGATTGGAGAATTTAAAATTGCAGATCATGACAAGTGTGTAAGAATCTCTCAGTGTCTCTAGATCTGCAGTTAAGGACAGACTTGAAGGGAGAATAATGTAACAGGTAGAGATACAAACCCAAACTATGTGATATTCACTGCTGAGGAAAACTACAGAATTACTAAACCTCAGATGTAGACCAGATGAATTCTGTTTACATAGATCTGACAGTGGAAGAGTATGTATGCGAAGAGAGTTCAAGCTTCTTCTAAAAGCCAGTTGTGACAAATGTTCGACATATCTCCTTCATATTACCACTTTCAGCTGATTCCAGAGTTCTGTCATTATTGAAGTTATAGACCAACAAAGGCACATCTGTTGAAGAACACAGGATATAATAAAACCTATAGCCAATTATCTCTTTTTCAGATCTTACTTGCTGCCAAATTTAATTCCTTTTCTCTCTCTCTCTCTCTCTCTTTTTTTTTTTTTTTTGAGATGGAGTCTCACTCTTATTGCCCAGGCTGGAGTGCAATGGCCCAACTGGAACCTCTGCCTTCTGGGTTCAAGCAATTCTCCTGTCTCAGCCACCCAAGTAGCTGGGATTAAAGGCAACCACCAACACACTCAGCTAATTTTGTATTTTTAGTAAAGACAGGGTTTCTCCATGTTGTTCAAGCTAGTCTCAAACTCCCAACCTCAGGAGATCTGATCACCAACCTCAGTCTCCCAAAATGCTGGGATTACAGGCATGAGCCACTGTATTCAGTCTCCTATTCTCTCTCTAATCATCAGTGATAAATTTCACCAGGATAAATCTTCTCTTGGGAAGTTTAGATGTTTACTTGTAAAAAGTAGGATATGTAAACTATTCTCTTTAGCATAAGTTATCAAAGATTTAATACTTTAAAAACTGAAAGACAGTATTACTAGGCACTCAACATAAATCACTAAGTTAACCTTTTCTAGACAATAAACATAATTTCCTAGGAACAGGACATTTTCAAATGATAAAATCCCATAGTAAGAAAAACAATCCTTTATAGATAAGATTTATAAAACAATACAGTTTTGTAAATCTCTCTAGATACTTTCCCGAACCTGTATATGCCAAGACAATTTTTAGATTCACACATAAAAGACCATATCATGCTTCCAGAGCATACTAGTCATTGGTTTCTTTACATTCTAACACACTTGACATGATCTGCAATTTTAAATTCTCTAATCAACTGTATCTAAAAATAATTCTATACCTATATTAATGTATCACATAACAAAATATTCTACATGCTAGATTATAAATCTATTGGTTTACTTATTTTATGTGTAACATGGAACATGTTTCTCTTGTTACTTGGCAAATTAGAAAATAAACATCTATGAGGCTGTATATGAAAACAAAGTATACCTGTATACTCTGATTAATGTCTGTGTTTTGCTTGCTTAATTTTCCCAATTAAGATTCCTCCAGTGAAACATGTGATATTTAAGACTTTAGCTATTCAAAACATTACAGGAAGTTTCAGTGGGTATCCCTTGTCAATTGCTTCAAAAACTCACATCTTGGGTCTTGTCCTTGGTCTAGAAAACCAATGCTTCTTTCACTGAGGGTTACGGAAGATATGTATCTATTTGTGTCCTTAAAACATGTGAAAAATGTATTGCTGGTCCATGGACATAGAAATATCCCCTAGTGTGACAATTTTCATATTTCCACACAGGCTTTCTATTATCTCAATCTTTTAGAAAAATATAGAGGTATTCAGAGCAGATGTCCAAAATACAAAGGCACTAAAACATAATGTCAGAATCTACTTTACAAAGGTGGTTGAAATTTCACATTCCCTGGAAAATTTCTTCATAGAAAAACAAAGATAATTTCTTTGCATGGCTATATAAAATTGACCTAATTCATGGAAATTAACCTGGACAAGCCCATTATCTGGTGGCCCAAGTAAGCAAACAAAAAATTCATCAATACCAAAATTTGTTACTTGAATTTGTATCTTCTTTGTCAATTATGGTGATGCAACCACGAATATTTTACTGTGATCAAGGATTTGTGATAATATTCATGTGCCCAGCTATTAAGCTGTAAGGAAATGCTGGAATTTAACTTTGCAGAAAAGTCAAGGACAAAGCTTTCTCACAGACAGAAGCAGAAATCTTCAGTCTTTCAGTCATTCAGATAGCATATCCCTAAGACCACTTCTTTTCTGATTAAAGGCATATCTCTATATCTCCCAAATCTCAACCCAGGAAATCGAGATCTTCCAAAATTTTTACAAGCAAAGGTGGATGAAATAAAACAATCCATCTATAGGACTAGATACCAACTGAAGCATACTGCAGCTTAGGCAGAATTTTAATATTTACCCTATTTCATAGGTTATTTTATCAGGAAAATAAGTTTTCCATTTATGTGTCTAGACATAGTCTATGACATTTACATTATCAATATTTTTAATGAAAAGATCATACGGCTTTTATAGATTAGTTAATTAGAACATTTGGAACAAATTCAAATAAACACTTTTCTTCTGGAGAACCCCTAGAGGAAAAAGGCTTGAT